CCTTCTTTTCCTTTAAGGCTTGGCTCTGGTGCCACTTCTGTGAAATCTTCCCTGAGCTGGTTGTTTTTCCTGATTCCATGCCTTTTCTTCAAACACTTTATCTGGATCATTCATTCACCCCATCACAACCTGCTTTGTGTAGCCATGTATAATTTATATTGTCTTTCTCTCCCCCAAGAAGAATGAAACCTCCTTGAGGGCCAGGATTTCTTTTTTCACTTTTTTTCCATATGTTCTCAGCTTCTAGCACAAATCCTGGAATGTATTAAGTGCTGAACAAATTCTTGTTAAATTGAATTGAACTTCATAGAATATGAATTGAAGCGCAGAATTACAGTCATAGAATAGTCTATCTCTCGTTGACTTTGAAGAACATTGATTTAATATTTGTCTTGATTATGGTTAAAAGAAGTCAGAAGTAGGTTGACTCCATTATTAGATATTTGTTTATGAAGTTTCAAAGTATGTGTTACAATTAGAAGTTATTCCAAAGCTTTCAGAAGTTAGCCAGGAATTCATGGTGCTTCATGGGCCCTTAGAAAACACAAAAGCAAAGGGCTGTGGCAGGCTTATTATGTTGACTACAAATAAATTGGCCTGGATGAGATGTGCTCCCAAATTCTAAAACCATTATAAGCTATGTGTTCTGAGCATTTAAGGCTATTATATGCAAAGGGGAGAAAACTGGGTCAGAAAGAATTATAATTTTTGATAAAATATTTGTCCATTGAAAATTATACAGAACGGCCAGATAAGAGGAATTTCTTTTCATTCAAAAAATTAACATTATATTCAGAGAAGGGAATACAATGAATTATCTGGATTTTGTTCTTTATTTTGGGAGAGTAATACAATGGAGCTTCATCTTGCTGTGGAGGTGACTCTGGGTTGTCAAAAGTTATGCCAGGCAAAAGCTCTGGCAGTTTATACAAAACCAGAATGTCTTCAGGCATAGTCCTGTGACAACCTATGCCACATCTCAAAGGATCAGCTTAGCTAAATACTGAGTAGCTTATCACCAGAAGGTTGATTGCTAGGTTAACTAATTAATTTTTCAGGTCACCTCAACTCATGGAAAGCCTATAGCCAATATCTGAGTATCTTTTAACAGCTGATTTTCTAGGGTAGGTTTATTAATATATGTGATACTCCTTCCCAATAAGCATATCACTGTAAAAATTAATTGTTTTTCATCATTTTGAGTTGTTAGTGGCTTTTCCCCCTAATTACCTTATACTGATTTTGAATTGATTTTGTATATGCTTATATGTTCCCACATTGTCTCTTTTGGTAGCATATAAACTATTTGAGAGTAGCAACTGCTTCCGTTTTGTCTTCATAACTCCAGCACCCACCTCAGGCCTAACACAGTGCCTGACACCTACTCAGTGCCTAAGTAGATACTTAATAAATGCTTATTCATTGATTCATCAAATCATGGGATTGGGAAGTATCTTATTTAGTAGATAATGCCAATTCCCAGTAAACAGCACCTAAATTATTCTAAAAAATTAGTTGTGAACAGTGTTATTATTGGTTGTTAATAATGTTAATGATTCTGTCCCTTTGCATGAGAAAATAATACTGCTGATAGATCATTAGCAGAACGTAGGCTTTGAGGTTTTACTTCAGCCTTGGTGGTGGATTTGTATGGTCAATCCACACTCGCCCAATTCCCCTTTATAATCAGTCCACACAGGTGAGATAGCTAGCCATAGTCAGGGATGCAGTAATAAAGGGAAGGTCACTCATCTGTGAAGGGAATAATAATAATAGAATAAATTATAGTTTGCATTTACATAGTACTTCGAAGTTTGCAAAATACTTTGCAAATGTTGTCTCATTTGATCCTCACAATAACCCTGTGAGGTAAGTGCTATTATTATTCCCATTTTACTGATCAAGAAATTGAGGCTAAGAATTGTCAAGAATCAATGATTTCTCCAAAAGACTGAATTTCCTTTTTATCACGTCCTTGGAATACATTTCCCAACTTTCCCCCATTATATTAACCAAAAAATAGATCATCCAAGAAATCTCATGAGATGCCACCCTGTTTAATTCCTGTTTTTGTTTCCTAGGGTCTTGCTCTCCACATCCTTTCCCACAACACAGCCTTCCCCCCTCTCATTTTTTATGAAAAATGGATATGAGAAACTTTCTCTCTCTCTCTTTTTTTTTTTTCGGTGAGCCAATTGGGGTTGAGTGACTTGCTCAGAGTCACACAGCTCGTGAATGTTATGTATCTGAGGCCAGATTTGAACCCAGGTCCTCCTGACTCTAGGGCCAGTGCTCTATTCACTGTGCCATCTAGCTGCCCCTTCCCCACCTCTCATAAATTAAAACAAAACAATACAGTTTATAGTAGAAGTTACATCTTAATATCTCCTAAAGAAGATGTGAGTGCAAATGTTAACACTATGTAGAATAAGTTAAATTCTCTATTCTTAAGTAAGTTAAATATGAAGGTAAAACTTGCTTCTCTGCTCCTTTTTGTTTTCTTTCTTTTTAATTTTTTTCAATTAACAAGCATTTGTTTTCTCTCCTTTTCCCCTCATCCTGAAATAAAAGAAAAACAAAACCTTTATAACAAATGCATATAGTCAAGCAAAACAAATTCCTGCATTGGTCTTGTCCAAAAAATGTGTCTCATTCTGTGTCTTGAATCCATCATCTCTATTTCATGAGGTGGAGGGCATGCTTTGGGGTTGGTAGTTTCATTGATCAGAGTTCTTGTCTTTCCAAGTCATTTGTCTTTACCATGTTGTTTTATTGTGTAAATTGTTCTCCTGGTTCTGCTCACTTAGGTCTTCACCAGTTTATACAAGTCTTCCCAGCTTTGTCTGAAACCTTCCCTTTTGTAATTTCTTATGGCATAATTGTAATAATCACATTTGTATCCCATGATTTGTTCAGCCATTCCCCAATTGATGAGCACCTCCTTGGTTTTCAGTTCTTGGCCATTACAAAGAGAGCTACTTGAAATATTTCTGTCTTGTAAATTTTGTGCTGCAAATATTTTAAATATGAGTCCTTTCACTCTTTGATTTATCTGGGGCATTGGCCTGACAGTGGTATTGCTGGATCAATGGGTATGCAAAGTTTTGTGACTTTAGAGGCATAGTTCCAGATTACTTTTCAAAATGATTAGATTTCTCCTCTTTTTCTTCATTCAGTTTAGTCTTGGGGACGCTCTAGTAAATGTGTGAGGTCAGGTTTGAACTCACGAAGATGAGTCTTTCTGATTCCAAGCCCAGTGTTTATCCACCACACCACCTAGCTGCCTATGATTATACTACTGTACCAAAATTAATCTTCTCCCAGAAGTTTAGGATGAGAATGTTTAAAGAGACCCAAAGTTAGAAGAGGAGGCTCCCTTCAGAGCTGTTAGAGACTCCAGTAAGCCAGTGGAACACATAAATATGTATCAGGCCACAGCCTATGCTCTTTTATTGGGTTGTTTTCATTTTGTCATTCTCCCTTTCCTTGGCTTCCTTGCTTGCTACTACTGAGGAATAATTATTTCTTTGTGATTAATGCTTCTCTCCAGATGGTGAGCAATACAGCCATTAACTACTTTAGAGTAAGATGGAGGGCCAAGTAGTTTTATTGTTAAGTCATAAAGAAATTCACTACCTATGAAGAAACTAAGTACCTCAAGTTTTATGAACTCTTGGTGAAATTTGGACCTTGATTGTTAACTTGGTGAATTCTCTATCTCTTTGATTAGTCTATTGGTTCTACTGATTCTAGTACCAACTGTTGCCTCTGATCCAGACCCTGCTTTCTCTCTCTGGCCCCTCTGCTTAGTCTCCTGTATTCTCAGCATCTAACTGGGCCTATAGACCTAGGTCTATATTTCCAATCTAATACATTTGTCCCTTCTATACATGGGAACTTTCCAGTCTTAGTCTTTCCTTTCTTCCTAGAGGGAGTCAACAGGGCTTTATCCCTGGTCTATGTCATATCCCATCATTAACCATACCACAGGGCAGAGCCCAGGAATAAAAATTCATTTTGCATTAGAAGGCATTGAAATATTGCATTAATTTAATTCCAAATCCAAGTGTCATGTTTCCTGAGTATTTAGTCAATAAGAATATACTTCAAAAATACAAGGATGCATGATGTCATTGGTGTATTATCTCCGTCAATATCAACTATATCCCCTCAACTTGGGAGACAGTCTTCAAAGATGGTTCTCATTGAAAAATTGATCATCTTGGATCCAACTTGGTGAGGAGTTTCTTTAAATTATCTAGGTTGGGCCTTTCCAGCTCGTCAGGATTTGCCATATCTTGTGCTTTATTGGTATAACTTTTGAGAAGCAACACAGCATAATGGATAGAGCACTATATCTATCAGGAGGACCTGTGTTCAAATCCTGCCTCAAACTCTTGCCAGTTGTATGACCCTATGCAAATCACTTAACCCCGCTGCGCTTCCATTTCTTTATCTGCCAAAAGGATGGGGGAAGAGGGAGTAGAATTAATGGTCTCTAAAATCCCTTTTGGCTTTAAATCTCTAATCCTGAGAACTCAAGATCAACACTATGACCCAATGGAGGAGTCATCAATTGTAAGCGATTTCTAAATAATTAGCTTTTCATCTAAATTTGCTTTAAAAGCCAGGTTATTTTACTTGTGGAAGAGTAGTATATTATTTTACAAGCAAACCATATGGGTTTTTAGGCTATAAGGAGAATGAGAAAATTAAATAGCTTCAATAAAAATAAAGAATATAACAGGCAAGGAGAAAGGAAAAGTATTTTATTGGTCAAACTGAAAGGCTAATTATGTCATTCTTAATGATTCCCTTTTAAATCATATGCACACATTAACTGCCATCATAAAGAATTCCACTACTCAAACCTGAATTTTAGCACAACTTTAAATGATAGCTAGCTTGCCGATTAGCAAATGCACATAAAAGTATTAAAAGCCAAGAATAAAATGTCTTTCTTCATAGAGAAGATTAGTGTAGTAAATTTATGCAACTTGAATTTTAATGAAATGACAATAACTAACTAAATAGCCCACGTGCCCCTCATGAAACAAATTCAAATTCAACTAATGTTCATTACATAACAACTTCCTACAAGACATTTACTTCCAATGATTTAAATAGATTTCTTTAGAAAAGATGCTGGGTTTTTTTTCCCCTTTGAAAACAGATAAGTTCACTTGTAATCAACAGGCAATTCACTGGAATGAGGCCCTCACTGCTCTCCCTTTCAGTGGTTGGGGGAGTCTGTGGTTGTGCAGTATGGGGCTGGCTTTTTCACCTTCAGAATTCGACAGAAGACTTCGGAACTGGGCCAGCTAGGAGGAAAAATTGATGTATTTTTTTATTTTTCAAAAACAGTTAAAAGTCATTCAGTACACATTATACCTGGTGGAATTAATGTTTTCAAAACTGACTTCACAATAAGAAGTAGATTCTTTTCACCCATGCAAAAAAGAGGGGGATAGCCCCAAATTTCAACACTGGTCTTTGTGAAGGGTATGGTAAATTCTTTTGAGGAGTTAAAGAGAAAAAGAGAGAAAATAGTGATATACTTGGGCTGAATTACAATGACCACATTTATATGATTATAATAATAATAATAATAATGATAGCTAGTGCTTATACAATGCTTTAAGATTTGCAAACTACTTTATAGATTTCTCATTTTTTTCCTAAAAATAAATCTGGGAGGTAGGTGTTATTATTGTCTCTGTTTTTACAGACAGGCCCAAGGTCACATAGCTAATAAATGTCTGAGGGTGGATTTGAACTCAGGCCTTCTTACTACATGCCCACAACCTCTTGACTGCACTGGACTACCTAGCTGCCTACCAGTTAAATATAGGTAGTCCTACTTTGTCATGGGGCATTTTAACACAATGAGAGAATGAGAATGAAGACATCCAGAATAAAATCAAATTTGGCAAATGGAGGTGGGGTAGGATTTTTTATTCTGTTTTGGCTTCAAATGTTATAGTAGTTCTGAGTCATGCTATTTACTACCATGAAGCTACTGAATAGACTATCCAGTTCAGTGTTACCCAATTAGTGTAATTTAATCAACTTGACTGAAAAAAATGTATTAAGCTGATTAATCTATTTATCTGAGATGTGTAGATCTTTTCCAGGTAGATCTTTCTTGCCTTGGTCTTCTCTCAGGAATAGCACAAGTGAAAAGAAGAGCTTGTTGAAAAAGAGTAACAATATTCCAGAGAATATTCCAGTGAATATTCTGGAATAACAATATTCCAGAAATATTCCAGTGAAAACTAAAATGGGAAAATCAAAGTATGTTTAGAAAACCAAATTCCTCAGAGATTCTTTTCTAAAACTGGATCATAAGTTTTATTGCCTTTAACTAGGGATGCATAGAACCAGCCTTAACAGTGGCTCACCTTTAAAGAAGTATTCCCCTTTATTCAAAAGTTGCTTTTGCAAAATTTAGTAGATTAAAAGAATTGGTTGGAAATGTTTTTAAAATTTTAATCAATTCAGAGATGCCAATGAACCTCAGCTTTCGTTTTCTTGACAAGGATCTGATAGCAAATAAACATTTTGACCTTTAAAATCATGTACTTCTAACAAGTAAAAAAAAAATCGATAACTGTCAGGGTAATGGTTCAGAACCACAATCTCTGAACCATGGGAATCTAACTGCACATGTTTGTCTAGTCGAATTTCCAGCTACATTTCTCTTCTTTGTAGCCAGAAAAACTTTAAAATAGATAGAGATTTCTTTATGAACGAAATTTATTCTTTGTCAAGAATAAATTCAAGGAACAATATTTTAATGAACTTTTAATTGGACCAAAACCAGAAATAAACTATTCTGTATTTTTTTAAAAAGGGGAATTAATATTTTAAAAACCCAAGGAAATTTTATTTCCCCTCATTAGCTACTGTTTGCTGCTTGATATAGTCTCTCTCCACCTCCCAGTGCCCACTCTGATACTCTACCTGATCTGCGCTGACACTGATTGGCTCCTTAAGGAGAATCCAGGTTACGCTCTCATAGAGAGGGGGATGAGTCAGAGAGCCAAAGTAGGTCCAGTAATCCAAGGATTGAGGCAGCAAAGAAGATGGGTCAAAATGAGCAAATGGAGCTTGTTTGCCCTGAAACAAATATGCTATAATATAAAATATTTTTAACAATTACAGGTTCATGCTCATCTATAAACATTACCTTACTTTTTCTGATGACTTCATTTGTATCTTAAATTTTTTGAGGATAGTACAGTGGAGGAAATGAGCAAATAAGTTATAGTAACAGCTAGCATTTATAAAGCCCTTTAAAGTTTGCAAAGACTTTTTACAAATATTAATTCATTTTATTCTTACCTTGGAGGTAAGTGCTATTATTATAATCTCCATTTTATAGATAAAGAAACTGAGGCAGAAAGAGGTTAAGTAACTTGCCCAGGGTCACACAGCCAATTTCTGAGGCTAGATTCGAACTCTGCTCTTAGAGCACTGGGCTTGGAAACAGGAAGACTCATCTTTGTGAGTTCAGATCGGGCCTCATACATTTACTAGCTGTATGACCCTGGGCAAGTCACTTAACCTGTTTGCCTCACTTTCTCATTTGTAAAATGAGCTAGAGAAGGAAATGGCAAACCACTCCAGTATCTTTGCCAATAAAACCTCAAAAGGACTCACAAAGAGTCAGGCATGACTGAAACAACCCAATAATAACAAAAAACTTTCCAAGTCCAGGCCCAGCACTTTGGTCACTGTGCCACCTAGCTGCTTCAAGTTATCTCACCAGACATCATCATTATTGGTGATAGAGGATAAAATGACAAATTCTACACTGAAGTTTTGCCCTCTAGGTTTTTCTGCCTTTTGAATAAGGCTAAAAGGAGGCAAGTATTGAAGATGTTTCAGTGTTGGAATAAAGCCATCTTCTTAAAACATATACATATGTATGTGTATAAATAAAACGTTTCTGTATATGTACACACAATTTTCTGCATTATGAAAACATTTATTGTGTATACAGAATTGATGCCAGACCATATTAGAGCTGAGTGGCAAAGCCATTGACAAATAGTTATTTTGGTTATTTTTTTTCTCCCTGAACCTATGATTTCATTTCAGCTGACAGATGAGGATAGCTTCTTTCAACTATTCAATTCTTTATTAATCCTAAAAGTGCCTCCTGAACACTTATCCTTTTGTGCTATTAAAGAAATATGCGTATCTTTGTTTTTGAAATGAAAGTTTACCAAATTTTAAATAGGATGGACATTGCAAAGTGAATTTACATGTCTAAGTGAGTTATTTTTCCAAAGATGATTTCCAACAAGATGATTGCAAAAGTTGAGTCCAGAATTGTCCTAAAGGCAGTTGATGTACAGGGAGCTTTGGGGTTAGTTTTGTCTGTCCTTTTCACCTCCATGTTCCCTGCTCCTTCCCGTCTCCACAGTACCCTTCATTTAATGAGCCTCAAAGACTGGACTTCTTACTAGGCAGTCCTTGATTTGGTATATTTACCTTAGTTTTGATTGAACCTAGGGCACCAATTACTTTCTGTAGGACTGGGTTAGCCTGGCCAAGCTGAGAAAAAAATTTAAAAAAAAATGAGATAAAAAAATAAACATACAAGGGATAGATGCAATTTGTAAATCAAATACTACTAAAAAACAAAGTCAACGTAAACTTTTCATTAAAAATACTAGATGAAGAGAGTAGTATTTTCCTCTGTTCTGTCAGTGGGTATTTTGCAATAAGATGGTATGTATGAGAGTGCATTGTCTATCTGTTCTTGAGTACATGAAAAAAAATATGTAGAAGTTACATTTCATTTAAAGTATACTAAATATGCTGATATTTTCAGTCCAAATAAGTACCTACTATGTGTAAGACATTTGTATATAAGAAATGAAAATCCAAGGAGTGATAGTGGAATAAAAGTCCTCCTTAGTTCTGTCTTTGCTGTATGTCCTCCCACCCTTTAGTGTCTCCAATGGCCAAACAGATACAATTTCATGATGATGTTTCAGGAACTTCCTGGTATATTAGCTGACCAGTATCTGATTTTCTATCTCGTAAATCAACTGAAGAGTCATCAAAACAACAGCAACAGCAACATTGCTTCATTAATATATTATCCTTAGAGGAACTTTGAGGTTAAATCTGAAACAGAAATTAAATAATTCCTGAGTCTTCTTCAGGAAATTTGTAAGAAGGCTTGGGAGAGGGACAAAGGTGAAGGAGAGGAAGAGTCCTCTCCTCTTTCACCCTAACAGAAGCCTCCCCACCATCCTCTCTGCAGAGGGAGAAGCCATAGGAAACAAAGCCAATAGGAAAATCAAATAAAAGGCATTCTGGGATGTTTTTCATCTACTTTGAATTAGTGGAATGAAATTAAAGCTCTCAGAAGAACAACTAGAATACTGTTGGCCTCTTGTTCTATCGCATGTCAAACTCTAGTCTGGACAGAAGAAATATTTGAATAGTTTTCTTACTTACCTTCATAAAAACACCAATAATTACCAAGCCATCAGGTTTCTGAGCTGCTTCAGAGAAGCTGGCATATTTTTCAGAGTTCCAGTGAACTATGTGTAACTTTAAAAAAAAATTTAAAGTTTTGGTTTATTCTTTACCTCTCTATGTAGATAACAGCTACCAGTAACCAAGATACATTTTCACTTGGCAGTCCCTTCGCCTAGATCAGGAGTTCTTAACCTTGGGTCCACAAACTTTTATTTTTTAATATTTTATAACCACATTTCAATATAATTGGTTTCCTTTGTAATCTATGTATTTTATTTTGTACGTAATATAATCCTGTGTATTTTATTATATGCATTTAAAAATTTATTTTGAGAAAGGGTCCATGGGCTTCATTAGACTGCCAAAGGGGTCTATGAAACACACAAAAAAGTTAAGAATCTCTGATGTAAAGAGAGGAAATTGAAGTGTTGCAATCATGTTGAAAATTCATACAGAAGAGGGGAAGGGGCCAGATTCTTACTGCTAGATAACTGAATTAATATTCTGTGGCAGAATTAATAGAATGAAACTCCCCAGCCTTGAGAGTGCTTTTCTATTCATTCCTATGCTGTAGTTACTAAAAAATTGACATCTCGTTTCCTGTAGCACTCTTGGGGATGGAGAGCTCAGTAAGGCTTCTATTCATTCTTGGCATACTAGCTGACTGATTTTTAAATCAGTAGCTGAAGTTGTCTTCTCTGTCTTACTCAAACTCTTTATATGACCATAAATTGTGAGTTGGAAAAATAAAATAAAAATAGCTGGAGTTTATATAGCATTTTAAGGTTTGCAGAGGACTTTACAAATATTATCTCATTTAATCGACACGAACTCTATGAAATAGGTGCTCTTGTTGTCCCTGTTTCATCAATAAGGAAACGAAGGCAGAAAGAGGTTAAATGACTTTTCTAGGGTGACAGCTAGCAAATATCTGAAACTAGATTTGAATTCAAGTCTTTCTGATTCCACATCCAGTTCTCTCTCCTGGCTGCCTACAAAGTGGGCACCTCAGCAGTGATTCAATCCAACCCCCTCATTTTGCCAAACAGGCCTAGAGAGGTTAAATGTTGTCTAAGGATACAGGTAGAAGCTGGATTAGAACTCAGGCTCTCTGACTCCAAAGCTTTGATTTTTAAAACTGTACCACACAGTATTCCTTAGCAGCAAGTTTATGAGAAGGCAATTTTATGTAGCATATCTAAGTCTTAGGGATCAGTACTTTGGAATTTATGATTGCCTTTGAGCATGATTTAAAAAGAAAGATGGTTTGCTTCTGGTAAACAAGATTTCTTCCTATGTAGGTTACATAAGTAATATATCCCAAACAAGGTTATATAATCATTTATAGGTCTTTGCTTCTTTTCTTAGGTCTGGGTTATTCTTTGACTTCTGCATTATATGACTCTTTATATAACATTGTAAAGATCAGTTTATGGCTCACAATGCAGCAGGAAACTTAAATTTTGCTTCTAGTTTCCTCCTTTAAGAAATAAAGATAAATTTTTTAAAAAGACAATTATTGGGTTAGAAGAAAAGTTAAATTTTGTGTTAGACATGTAGAAGATTACTCAATTGAATGATTAAAAAAATATATCCCTCTCCCTAGTTCTCTGAGTCAAAAAAAATATATAAGGGATAACAAGGAAGCAATCTAAAATTAGGTGATGTAATTCCTTAGAATTCTGAAAATTCCTGAAGACATTTCTACTGAATAAAATGTCATCCAATTATAATATGCCCTACTTCTTTTCTTTTTTGTTTTTTTTTTTTGATTACTTACTGTTTTTCTGGAATATTCGGAAACATCTAGAGAGGGTAATATTTTAAAAATTATTCAATTGAATAATTTTCTATAAGTCTGATAAAAGTTACATCTGTGTTTTTGGAGATGGTGTCACATCATTGAAATCATGGGTCTTTCAAAGCATTGACCTATCATCTACTTTTTCTGAAGGGTAAATATATAGGCACTGCCGGTGATTTCTGTAGATTGAAAGAGACTGTTCATTTTTAAAAAATCTATTCAGTTGGGTTGGGAGTTGAGTGGAAAGAGTGAAGGGACTAATTCTCAGAGGCTGCTCACATAATATTGTTATGTCTGTTTTAATGATTTACCTCTGCTGAGTATTTCACTCCATCTATTGTGTGCTCAGAACCATGGTCATCAGTCCCCCAGTGGAAATGAAACTGCCGCAGCCTAAAGCTTCCAGCGACTGGACCACCTTTTAGGACTAGGATGAGAAAGAAAATACCTAGTTACAAGTTAGAAACCCCAATGCAATCAGTAGAAACTGGACCAGGGCTAGAACATTAAATGAGATTACAGTCAAAGTGGATGAAGTATGGAGGTAAAAGGAAAAGATCTGGGGGATTGCTGTCCCTAATTTTTTTACTGGCTTGTGTTGTTTCAGACAAATTATTTCATCACAGGCTTTGCACATAGTAAGTGATTAATATATCCTTCATCCATTTGTTCATTCATTTGTCTTTTAGTACCTCTCATCATCTATTTGCAATTTTTTTGGACTACTGTACAAATGCCAATTAAACATGCATCAGCGTTCAATAAGAATGTTGTTAGCAAGGCCAACAATGCACCTGAAGTGTATGTTAAGAATCTTATACAAAAAGTCTAGAACCTACACGAACCTTGGAGTGGGTGGTTAACTTAGATGTGATTTCAGGGGTGCCTGAAAATCACATCTGAACCAAAAATAATACCTCCTGTTCCTCATCACTGATGCTTGACATTTCACTACTAGAGAGTTATTTCTTTGACCTTGTTGAAGTGCAAACCTCTATGAGAAAAGCAACACTTTAAACCATATTAACCATATGTCCTTTAGTGCCCATGAGTTAATCAGATCCTTTGTAGAGAGCAGGTGTTGATGGAGAAAAGTAGGGAAAAATATACTGGCAGACTCAAAGCTCTGTGCAAGGGGAGAAAGGACTAAGCAGGGGAAAAGACAAGAGAGCTGGGGCAGGTAGGTGGTGCAGTGGATAGAGCTCTGGCCTTGGAGTCAGGAAGACCAGAGTTCAAATTTGACCCCAGTCACTTGACACTTACTAGTTAGTTGTGTGACCCTAGGCAAGTCACTTAACTCCAATTGCCTCAAAAAAAACAAACAAAAAGAAAGACAAGAGAGCCCCAGATACCAGTTTTGTCAACTTTATAATTTTGTGTAGGAACATATGGAACATTATTGTGATAATTTTTAACAATGTATATGGGTATGCTACAGAATAAATATATTTCTGACTAGCTATTGTATTTCTTAAAGTTTTTCTGAATTATACCACCCCACCCCACCCCTTACCCCCACCAAGTCCTTCTTTCTACCCAACTTCCTTATTACTGTTGATGGCAACTTGGTCCTTCCAGTCACCATGGTTCTCAACCTCTATGTTGTTGTCCTCATTCTCATTCATCTCATTTATCAAGAGTTGACAAATTTTGTTGTTTCGGTCTCTACAAAAATTCTCCTATAAATCCTGATTCCTCTACCCAACCCAGTTCAGGCTCTCTGCACTTCTGTCCTGAATTATCACAATCACTTTCTCTTTGGGATTCTTCTCCTCTCCAATATGTTCTCCAACTACCTCTAAAGTGATTTTCCTTAAGGGCATCTCTGACTGTCACCCTGCCTTTTATTCCAGTAGCTAGGTGGCTCAGTGGATAGAATGTAGGCCTAGAATCAAAATACCTGAGTTCCAATCTGGCTTCAGTTACTAGCTGAGTGACCTTGAACAAGTCATCTGCCTCAGTTTCTTCAACTGTGAAATAGGGATAATAATAGCATCTACCTCCCAGGGTTATTTTCAGGATCAAATGAGATAATATTTGTAAAGCATTTGGCTTAGTGCCTGGCACAAAATAGGCACTATATAAATGATGATGATGGTAGTGATCTCCCTATTACCTGTAGGATGAAACATATAGTCCTCTGATGGGTATTTAAAACTCTTCACAACCTGGCCCTTTTCTACCTCCAGTCTTCTTACATAACATTCTCCTTCATAATAGCTAGCATTTATAAAGTGCTTTAAAGTTTGCTAAGTGCTTCACAGATATTATTTCAATTGATTTTCACAACAACCCTGTGAGAAGTAGGTGGTATTATTACCCCCATTTTACAGATGTGGAAACTGAGGCTATGAGAGGGTACGTGATTTGTGCAGGGTCACACAGGTAGTAAGTGTCCAAGGCTGAATTTGAATTCAGGTCTTTCTGACTCCGGGTGCAGTGCTCTCCCCACTCTAACAACAGGCTTCTACCACTTACCCTCCATTTCAGCCATGTTGGCCTATTTTCTGTTCCTCACACATAAGTGACCTGTCGCTCATTCCTGGAATGCTCTCCATTCTACCCTTCACCTCTTGGAACTCCTGGTTTTCTTCAAGACAGCTCAAACATCTTCCTCTGCAATAGAACTTTCTTAGTTCCCCCAGCTGCTGGTACCTTTCTCCCTAAGATTACCTTGTATCTGCTTTTTTTGTATTTTGAATATACCAGTATGCATATATGCTATCTCCCCTGTCAAAATTTGGGGAAGTTCCCTGACTACTTTGCTTTTGTCTTTGTTTTTGGCAGAGTAAAATAGTTGGTGTCAAATTTATGTTGGTTGATTGATCGATCTGCCTGTTTACCTTGTAAAATAAGGAGGAAGAAGCATGTTTTAGCTCACCTGACTGGTTATCCTTATCCTCAAAATTTACAGCGAAGGAATGGCCTACGTTGACAATTTCTTTGGCTGTTGATGGGCTATAGGAGACACTGAAAGGTTTCAGAGAAGCATCGTGCTTGATTTCTTTGGTTTTAATGTCAATAGGAGACTGATTGTTTCCATTAGCAATGGGGTAGAGTTTGCTCCAGTGGTCAGGTCCTAGAAAGGCAATATGTAAACATATGCAAATATGCAAAGATATGCAAATCTTCACTTGATAGCTTGATAGATTGTTTGCTTTTTTTTTAATAAACTACCTCTATTACTTTTCAAACGTTTCCTTAACACTTACATTAAACTTAGATATTTTAAGTTATATCAAATATTTTTACAGGACATTTCATGCAAGTAAGTGAAAATCTAGCATCAGAGAATGTTTTCTCTTTGTACCATTTTACTCCAAAATTGAATGCTTGCTAACCTTACAAAGATGGATAAAATACATTTCACGAAAACAAAAAGCACATAAATTTGTAGAACCACCATGGCCACCTACCATCATTATAAAAATAATATTATTTCACCTATCTTGGCCTCAGTAACTCTTAACCCATTCCTTTGCAGTTACAGAAAACTGTACTGAATGTCCAAAAAAGAATAAATGCTCTTCCTCCCATGTGGAACATTACCGTTTTCTCCCTCATATGACCAGTTCAGGCTTGCCATGTCTTTCCGTTTTCTTCTTCTTCTACCAACACAGCTGTAACTGATGTGACTGATGATGTTGGATATATGCGCTCTCCTATGTATATTTTGTGTCTCCAATCTGTGGTTTTTATAGGTACTTCCCAGTTCCATATGTACCAATATAATCAAGCATTGTTGACTTTTTCTGCATGACTCAGGGAAAATGGAAATGAGTTGTGTTAAAAAACACACCCACTCACAAAATTCAGGTGATTTTAGGGTATTTTATCTTCCCTACAGTGATTGTAATAGATAATAAGGAAATTGTAACCAAAGGAAAAAAAAACTCAACCTTTACCCCCTTTACATTTAATGATATGACTTTTACCACCTCTACAATTCTTCTGTTATTAAGTCATTTTTCAGTCATGACTGACTCTTCATGACTCCATTTGAGGTTTTTCTTGGCAAAAATACTGAGTGGTTTACCATTTCTTTCTCCAGCTCATTTGAAAAATGAGGAAACTGAGGCAAACAGGGTTAAGTGATTTGCTTAGGGTCACACAGCTAGTAAGTGTCTGAGGCCAGATTTGAGCTCAGATCTTCCTGACTCCAGGCTTGGCAGGCTATCCACTGTGTCACCTAGCTACTCCTACAACTCTTTAGTACTTTGTAATTATGAGATAATTTCTTTCAGATCTAATATTTTATATATCTATTTTAAAGTGCAATGCAAAATCAACAGAAGAAACTCATTCAGTTAATTAGGTTGTTATAAGGTAGAAAGAAATAGCAGTTCCAGTTATTAATCTCATTATGGTCATCATCCTCATCATAATCATCATGCACTTACACACCTACTAGTGCCAGAAAGCCCCTCAGGGAGCTTGTATTCTATCTAATAGAGAGACACAACACATATAACGGAGTGATGGCCAGGGATAAATTCAATTTTATACAGGACCTTTAGATTTACAAGGCACGTTCCTCAAAACAACCCTGTCACTTAGGTAGTTCAACCATTATCATTTCCATTTTGTAGATGATGCTTATTTGTCTGTGCTTTAATAACAGAGCCAGCATCCAATTCCAAGCTCTAGTTAATGCTTTTTCAGTGGATAGGCCAGTGATTACCCAACTATACTATGTATACATGGCAATACAATATCAAGACATTCAGAGGAAAGCCCTATGCATGTGGATGGACTTCCTATAGTGGACTTATGGAAAGACACATACAAGAATAGCCCAGAATGAGAATGCATGGTTGGGTTGTGACCTATACAGTTGGAGGGAGTATACACTTCAATGAGACAACAGTTCCATTGAAGAAGCAAACATCCAAGTTTTATGCAACTGATTTGAACAAACTTTATCTGCCTCCACTTCTTCATCTATAAAATGGGGGCGGTAATCACACCTTCCTTCCAGGATTGTTGTGAGGATTAAATGAGATCCTATTTGTAAAGTGTTTTGTGAACCTTAAAGTGTTTTATAAATGATAATTATAATAATTGTTATTGTTATCATCCATTATGCCATTCTGTGCTTCTCCTTTAATGTTTGTACATTTTTCAAGTAGAAAAACTTTCAGCCAACCAAATAAACTATTTTAATAGCTCATTACTCCAATCAATTTACATAAGCAGTCTCTGTTGGAGATACTGATAAATTGCACAGGATTTTGTAATTTTTAAGAAGCTAAATCATAAGCAAAATATTAACTGGAATTGCTGATGGGAAAGACTTTATTACGTACCGTACTTTATACTTGGAGGAAGTAGGATGGGAACCATTAATCTAGAAGTCCAGTATTTCTTCTACAAATGACTGGCTGCCCTTCGCAAATTATTTATGCCTGTTTTTGCCTTGAACTGCTTATCTTTAAAGTGAGGGAAATACTTTTTGTAACTTTTCTCAGATAATTATCATGAGGCTTAATGAGAACACAGTACCCTTCACAGGCAGATGCACAATGCTCAGCAGAACCTTTTGTCCATAAATTTTAAAAAAGTTTTCATTTTGCCTCTAGGGAAGTGATGTTGATTCTAGAAAGTAAGATAATCAAAATAATGGTATGTGTACTGGGATTTAAACAATTACCTAATAGGCACCATGATTAAACTAAGCCCCAAATGGATAGATAAGCTCTCTTTAGCAAGGGAGGTGAAAGTCCCTTATGGCCATCCCCTTACCCTAAGCTTTCTCCCCCAGCTTCTGTCACCTCTCTAAACTGATTCTTAAGCCATTTAGATGGAACCTACTCAAGAAATCATTTTAACTGCCTTCCCTGATCTGTCTTAGGAGGTCTCAGATTCATCTTTGAAAACTAGAGTCCTGAAAGGAATTTGCAAGATGATATAGTCTCTCATATGACATTGAAAGTTTTCTCCTGCATGTACCTTATTATTTAAGCATAGCATTAAACACATTGTAAGCTCTCAAAAATCCATGCAAGATTGATTAATTAATTAATGGAGTTTGGAAGTTTGTTTCTTCACTATCTCTAGTGTATTCTAGAGCTAGAGAAGATGTTGGGATTATCTTATGTGATCTTTGAAACGCTTTGCTCCAATTGGCCAGCTACCAAAACACAGTAGGGTGCATTTCCTTTTGGATCAATTCCACTATCTGTAGTCAATGATTAAATCAAAGGATGTACAATATCTGATTTTTTATCTCCACTTTTAACATGCCACCAAATACTCCTTTTTAGCAGTGGAAAAATCCATTTCTGTACAAAGGAGATTGTCACTTTAATTCACTCTTGAGTGATCCTTTTACTAGAAGACTTAAAAAGAACCATGTTTAGTGCAGTATTTGGAGTAATAGTTTGTAAAATGACTCATCAAGTCCAGGGTTCATAGGAGAAGTAAAGTTACAGAGGTCTGTTTTAGAGACATTGAGGTAGCACAGATGGCCCAGGCGCCATTTGCTTTAAAATGGTCTCTGAGCCTTCTTCACAGGTGTCAGGAATTTTTATTTGTGTGACTCTGTTTCTTTGAATCACATGCAAGCACAGTTAGATGCAGAAGTTATTGAGAAGAAAGATGTTAAGAGTTTTAAGTACCTGTTGTGTTCAGAGCCATCTCTCCAGATAAAGACCATAGGAGCATTGATTTAGGGCTGGAAGTGACCAACTAGTCAAGCCCCCCCCACCCCTTCCAGTTGAGGAAACTGAAGCCCAGACATATTAAATGGCTTGTCCAAGGGCACATAAGTAATAAAAATATGAGAGTCAGGGCTCAAACCCAGGTCTTCTGATTGTCCCTACCCACCTCCACCCTGAACCACACTTCAGTTACTGATTCAGTTTGGAGGTCAGAAGAGAGATTGCAAGTGGAGATATAAATTTGGGACCCATCTGAATCGGGGTCATAGTTGAAGCCATTGGAGGTTAAATGAGGTTACCAAAAAAGAATTTGCAGAAAGAGTACAGGGGCAAAGGACAGAATGTTGAACCTTACATAGTGAATCAGAGGACCATGATTTTAGCTAACGTGATACAGGGCAAATCATTTACCTTTCAAGGTCCCATTCAACTCTTTAAGACTATCCATTACAGAGTAGCTATTATTGTGTGTCAGGGGAGGGAGTTTTCACATTGAGTTACCTATGAAATCATGGGTCTGAACCAACATTTTTTTAAAATGATGAAAATATGATTTCTTTTTTGAAGATGGTGGAGATGACCTGTGTGTGTCCTAAGGGAAGTAGTTGCTTTCTTGAAAAGACCTTGAGATTAATTTTTGTGTGTACCTGAGCCATTCAATGGAGAAGATTGAAGATGAACTGAACTATTTCTATTGGCCACAAGAATTTTTTCAAACAAAACACTGCATTAACCACAGTTTTAGAAAGCCTTCCAACTCAGACCAAGCATACATAATTGCCTCCTCACCTATTTGTGCCTATCTTCTTTCTTACTCATTAAAAATAAATCTAAAGTTAGGACACATATGTGTATGACCTTAGCTTCAATTTTGCTACTCAGAAAATCCTGTATTCTGCTTTTATAGATTCCTTATCTCATTACTCAGTTACTGTTCCATGTCTTTTCCTCTATCCTCAATTGCCCAACATTATCTCTACTCCTCACAGTTATTATAGATGACAACATTCTACTTCACCGAAATGGAAAACATCTGAGGGGAGCTTCTTCCCCTCTGTCCTCTAGTCCTCAAAACTGCTCAACATTATCATCCACCTGTTCTTGTTTCCTCCACTCACATTAAAAAAAAAGGGAATCTCTATTCCTCAAGAGAGTAGAGATTCCAGGCCATTCATCCTATATCCTCTTACCTCTCCATGTTGATGACAATTTGCTCTAGCAAATTCTTCTCTCTCTCTCTCTCTCTCTCTCTCTCTCTCTCTCTCTCTCTCTCTCTCTCTCTCTGTCTCTCTCTCTCTGTCTGTCTCTCTCTTTCTCTCTCTCTCTTTCTCTCCTCCTCCTCCTTCTCTTTCTTCTTCTTCTTCTTTTCCACCTCGATTTCCCAATCATGCCACATGAGGGTTGTTTGAAGGAACTGGGTATGTATAGCCTAGAAAAGAAAAGATTCTGAAACTGTCTGTATTCCCTACCCTGGAGTTCTCTTGCTCCTCACTTCCCCAACCCCTGCCGCAGGCCTCTTGATTTCCCTTAAAAGTCTTCTTTGCAATTTGGGGTTTGGCCCTGCTATTTTACAGAAATTGCTCTTTCAAAAGTCACAAATGACCTTTTTGCCAAATCCAATGACCTCTTTTTCCCCTCAATTCTCTTCTGTCTTGACTCCCTTGTAGAACAGGGTGAGAAATTAGCAGAGTAGAAAGAAAAAAGTAATTAAAGTTTAGAGGTAAACCAGGAGAATGAGGTATCTCTGAAGCCACAGGAGGAAACATTATTTGGAAGCATGAGTGGTGAGCAGAGGAGGGAGGGAAGGAGAGAGAGAGAGAGAGAGAGAGAGAGAGAGAGAGAGAGAGAGAGAGAGAGAGAGAGAGAGAGAGAGAGAGAGAGAGAGAGAGAGAGAGAGAGAGAGAAGAATTTGCTAGAGCAAATTGTCACCAACATGGAGAGGTAAGAGGATATAGGATGAATGGCCTGGAATCTCTACTCTCTTGAGGAATAGAGATTCCCTTTTTTTTTAATGTGAGTGGAGGAAACAAGAACAGGTGGATGATAATGTTGAGCAGTTTTGAGGACTAGAGGACAGAGGGGAAGAAGCTCCCCTCAGATGTTTTCCATTTCAGTGAAGTAGAATGTTGTCATCTATAATAACTGTGAGGAGTAGAGATAATGTTGGGCAATTGAGGATAGAGGAAAAGACATGGAACAGTAACTGAGTAATGAGATAAGGAATCTATAAAAGCAGAATACAGGATTTTCTGAGTAGCAAAATTGAAGCTAAGGTCATACACATATGTGTCCTAACTTTAGATTTATTTTTAATGAGTAAGAAAGAAGATAGGCACAAATAGGTGAGGAGGCAATTATGTATGCTTGGTCTGAGTTGGAAGGCTTTCTAAAACTGTGGTTAATGCAGTGTTTTGTTTGAAAAAATTCTTGTGGCCAATAGAAATAGTTCAGTTCATCTTCAATCTTCTCCACTGAATGACTCAGGTACACATAAAAATTAATCTCAAGGTCTTTTCAAGAAAGCAACTACTTCCCTTAGGACACACACACAGGTCATCTCCACCATCTTCAAAAAAGAAATCATATTTTCATCAATTTAAAAAAAATTGGTCCAGACCCATGATTTCATTAGTATAGGGAACTCAATGTGAAAACTCCCTCCCCTGACACACAATAATAACTGCTCTGTAATGGATAGTCTTAAAGAGTTGAATGGGACCTTGAAAGGTAAATGATTTGCCCTGTAAAACGCTAACTAAAATCATGGTCCTCTGATTCACTGTATAAGGTTCATACTATACATCCTAGTCACAGTTCCCCAAACTCTTCATTGCTGAATATTGTAGTCGAAATTGTACTCAAGGTACAAGAAGTAGAGCTATATAGACATTATTCTTCCCTGACCTCTATTTCTATTCCAACTTTTTTCCATGCAGAGCAGAGTCACATACAGAATTAACCCTTCACAAGGATTGGGCCTGCAAATATAGATGCAAATAAAGTGTTTTGTGGAGCTTTGAAGATCTCTGATCTTATGATAACTTTCCCTTTTTGAATTAGTAGACACTTTCAGTAAGGAAGTTTACTCATGTATATGTCTAGGTGGATTTTTAGCCTTCCCCCTTCTTGATCCTTTGGAGAGACCAATATAATTTGTTTCTTTCAAAATTTGGTAACTTAAAAAAAACTCATAATTTAGTTTAATTATAGACCTAGCTTTTAGCTTTATAGGGCTGTCTGGGCAGTATTTAGATTTATAACTTGAAAAGTTCCTATCTGATTTGGTTCAACTAAAACTCTAGACTAATGCTGAGAAGGCATAACTGAATAATCATGGCTAGTCCAATCTACGTTTCCTGTTTGGTGCGTTGTCACAAACCTGCATCATCAGGTCTTGTAGCTGGACTCTTACGAACTCTTACACTGAGTTAGCACCAATTTCTCTAGTTCTTTAAATCTAGCCCCTTTCTGGACTTGTTTGTTAACTGACATAATTCCAGATAACTTTGAGCAACTCCCTGAGGAATACAAACAATAGTAATAATAGCTGGCATTTACATAGAACCCTTAGGTATACATTTGATCCTGTAACTCTGTGATGTTAGGTGCTATTATTACAACTATTTCAGAGGTAAGGAAACCACGGCAAATTGAGGTTAAGAGACTTGCCCAGGGTCACACAGCTGGTAATGATCTGAGGCTGGATTTGAACTCGAGTCTTCCTGACTCCAGGTCTGGTGTTCTATTCCTCTTAACACCTAGCTGATCTAGTAAGTGAGAAAGACACTGACAAATTGCCTAATAATAGCTGATGTTTATAGAAGGTTTCACAGGCATTTTCCACGTGTGCCTGAGCTTCTCAGCAGTCCTATGATGCACATACCAGAGTGTTATAATCTCAATTTTCCAGAGGAGGAAACTGAGGCAGAGAGAGGTTAAAACCTTGTCATGGTCACAGACCCCTTAAGAGTAAGATGAAGGATTTGAACCCAAGTTTCTACTTATTCTCCAGCTTGGTTGTGCTGCTTTTTTTAAATTTTTTTTTATTACATTACTGTGCCCTGCCTGGACTGATTTACTGAGAGAGAAAGCCAGGAAAGCAGCTGCCTCTTCAGCAGCTACTCCAAAATCAAGACCCAGAGACTCCAAAGATCTCCCCAAGGGTCTCGGTAGACAGATAGGAGCCAATCTGTAGGTAACAGGGACAGCTCAGAATAGTAAAATGAACCGTCTGCAGGAAGACGGTCTGGGATAGGTGTGGCGACTCTGGAGGGGTAGACAGTGATTTGATCTGGGCAGGATGGATTCCTGGTGAAGTGACTTTGCCAGGGTTTGTCACAATATGATCTTTTGTTGTTCCCCTCCCAGCCTCAGCAGGAGTGCTCTCAGGGCCTCCTGCAGAGAGAGGCTGCCAGGGATTTAACTGAGCTGCTCCTCTGGCTGGCATCAGCTGTTGCTCTAGTTTTCTGCCCTCCCTTTTTATTGAGACTGGGTCTTTGGACTCCCTGTCCCCCCGCCCTTCTGATGCTACGTGTGTGTGTGTGTGTGTGTGTGTGTGTGTGTGTGTGTGTGTGTGTGTGCAGAGCCAGAGAGAACCATCACCTCTGAACTTAGTTACACGGTAACCAGGTATACCACAACTGCACTGTGAAGTTGACATTTATTATGGGAGGGTTTTTTTTTAAGAAAAGACTTCACTTTTAGAGATCACAGGCCACAAATAAAATATCTAAATATTCTATCTCCTTAAGAATGGGGGGTGGGGGTGAGACCGTCAAGAAAAACAGATAAATTTTCTACTAACAGACAAATACCCCAAAGCTGGAGACTGGAAAAGCATGTTATGACATCTTTTACTGCCGGATAATTAGCAGCAATTTTCTGGCACAAAGTATTTTCTTTTTGAGAGAGGCAAAGCATGACACCCACTCTGTAAAAATCCCAGTGTGATAGAAAGGCTAGCTTTAATAGATATGACCTTTTGGTGCTTCTGCACCTGGCATTGCTGTAAAGTAATCCTAGAACACCCATTTTACAATTTGGATTCAGTTGAGACTGACAGGGCAACTGGTCTGCCTAAAAGCAGTATATTCATATTCATATTTTAGTCTTTTTCTCCTACCCTTTTTCTCAAGTGAATTTGGAAATATCAGCTCTTCAGCCCTCCTAGGTGCAGAGTCTGCCCAGGAGGACTAAATGCTCTTTGCAAGCTGATTTAAGGGCTTTCACTAAGATTAACAATGGTGACTGGTTGTCATACCAAGTGTGTTTTTAATACTCAAATTCTCAAAGGGATCTGCATTTTTACTAATGTGAATGAGCTTTCCAGGGAAGCAGATGGTAAACCATTCATGCTGGCCTATTCTGTGAGACTCCTGTATGTGTTCTCTGATAAGTTCACCCTAAGTGGTTCCACCCAAATTGTTGGTGGTCTTCTTCACTTTCTTTTGATATCACAAGAATACCAGTGGTGCCCAAGCTCTGTCCACAAGATATCCTCACTCTTGCTCCTTCACCAGTCTGTTTTCTTTTTCAATCACAATTCCTTTAATGACATCTTTTACTCTTTTATTTTGTTGCAGTCTGTTCATACCACTGTTGTGCGCTGGGCCTAATGTAGACCAGTCCCTTGCCAGTTTATGTTCCATATTGGGATAAAATAATGCCATCATGCATCATTCAACAGTTAATAAAAGAAGCTTCGCTTGGCCATCACAGAAGAAGGATATAAAACAAGCTCATGCATTGAGAACACCCTGAGTTTGATTCAGCTAAAGCTAAGCTCCCCTGCCTCCGAATTGCACATCATGGCAGCCAAGGACCAGACTAGAACTCCTGGTCCAGTGAAAGATGTCAATAACCTGAGCCAATCAAGTTTTGAGGATGGTTTCATTACCTTTTAAGGAAAAACTAGCCTGATCTGCCTGGGAGTTGGGTTGGAGCATTAGGCTATTACTCCTACCACAGTTACTGGCATGCTTTTCTATTTCCCTTTGAGTGATATTTATTTGGACTCTTTGAAGATTGCAATATTTAATAATAATAGCTCACCTTATTATTGGTCCAGATGTGACTTCATTAGTATGGGAGCTCAGGATAGAAATTCCTTCCATTGATCAACACCAGTCATTTGCCTATAATTTATAGATTTCCCCGGGACATGGAGAAGTTAAACTACATATATAAGATCTCAGTCAGACAAGTAGGAAGAGAAACAGGAGAGAATAGTGTCGTGAAAACCTCAGAATGGAGAGAGTAT